AGGAAGGAAGGAAGGAAGGAAGGAAGGAAGGAAGGAAGGAAGGAAGGAAGGAAGGAAGGAAGGAAGGAAGGAAGGAAGGAAGGAAGGAAGGAAGGGAGATAGATTGCAGGAGAAAATTGCACATAGGTAAAGAAGTCAAATCTTAGGGTTTTGTGTGTGAAAAGAGCATCCAGGGAATCAGGCTGCTGTCACCATAGCCTGGCAGTGTGAGTGAGGTCCTCAGCCCAACCAGCCCAGCAGCAGGGCACAGTGGGTCACACCGCTCGCACGTCCAACACCCGCGTTGGACATTAACTAAACCTGGTAACTAGTTAAATGGATGTGTTAAATGAATTTAAATGAGCTAAACTAGTTAAATGAATACATCTTGATTGGGAAAAAGAAATGTGATCCACTAACATACATTTGGAGCAATTGGAATATGAATTGCAGCCCCAGGAGTTCATAGGCTTTGAAATATAAGCACATTTCTTACGGGGAGGCTAAAGTTGCTTTGAAACTTAAATAGGTAAAGGAGAATCAATGAACATTTTTATTCCTTGCTCTTAGAAGAGTATTGGTGAAGAAAAGCAATTTGCCCTTTAGTTCAACTTCAGCTTAAACTGTAACTCTGGAGGCACGAGGTTGTCTGGTGCCTCCCTCACTCCTATTTCCTTCTCGACGGCTTGTCCTGAGATGTTCATAGCAAAGATGGGGCAACGTGTTAGTTAAACATGAAGAGAAGAGCAAAGATCTCCTAAGGTCCCATTGTGGCTCCCATTGCCTTGCAAGTACGAGCAGGTGGCATTCTGCCCAGGCCACAGCATGTGATATCTAGATGATGCTCAGCAGGGCCATTCAGCTGTGACAAGAGGGCCTAGGCAAGGCTTTCTTGAGCATCCTTGTCTCTCCTGTGCATGCTCAGCCTGCAAAGTGGTTATCTAGGCTTTAAATGGACAACAACAGGGTGCTGCTGCTGCTTACTGAGATGCTCCCCAAAYAAATGTGGCATGTGATGGTCTGGTGGGAGTTATTCCAGGGTCTGTGTGATGCGTCCAGCCTATGTAGGGCACTGGCTGCAGCAGTTTGTCCCTGCCTTGTGTCTTAATATGGCAAGAGAGCTCAGAAAGAGACCTGAAATCCTGCAGGCTCCTGACAGAGCAGTCAGTCTACCCTGATCCTACCTTGTCCTGAGGTGTTACTGGTCCTCCAGCAAGGTCTCTGCTGGGCATGAATGAGGTTGTGCAGCTCCTGGCAATTTTAACAGGCCTGGGGGATGTGGAACTGCCACAGCAGTGATTTTTGTTGTGGTCCATCTCAGGCAGCTGGTGAGCAGCTCATCTGAGACAAAGCTGGTCACAGCACCCGAGGCTGTGGAGGATTCATGGTAGCCCCACCTGAGGAATGATGGTGCTTCAGCAGAGCGCTTCCCAGATCCTTCTTCTCTACTGTACGTTTCCTGCTCAAAAAAAAAAAAAAAAAAAA